ATATTAGTTATACTAGAATTTGGGATTTGGGATTTGGGATGGTGGACAAATCCCAAACTATAGTAAGTCGGGATTTTCCCAACATGTATACATCACACTAAAAGTTTTGTACATATCAATTTTTTAGAAAACTGCTATATCTAACAAAGGTTTTTTATCATAGTAGATTTGGAAAATTTTTATAGTTTTACCTGTGTGTGATAAGGCGCGTGTGTACACTATTCAATGCGTGAGTGAGCATCACAACATGTAAAAAGCTTTTATTATACATAATTTTTTTTCTAAGATGGAGAAATTCGCATACGATACATGGTACGACCACTACCATCAATATATATTTATAATGAATTTGCGTGTATCAAACTTCCAAACAGTTTTGATGATATGGAATAATTTGTTATGGACATGGCAATTCTCAGGTAATAAATTGATGATGATCGCTCACAAAAGCTTCTAATAGGATACTGATAATACTTGATTTGTTATTACAGAAAGATGTCTTAAAGACAGTCAAGTTGGTTAAAAAATCAAGTGTAGATAAAAATATACATAAAACTGTAGTCAAACCCACACCGAAGAGTGCAAAGAAAAAAAAGGAATAATCAGAAGATGGCTGAAACGACGTCTATTGAGATTTCTTCTTCACAACAACATGACACATGATCTGATATTCATATTAGTCTATATTAATGAAAATAAAGTAAAACCTTATGCATCAGAATTAATGTCTAGTTCTGGAAAATAATAAAGCATTTATTTTTTTGCCCACATTTCGTGCTTGATATTTAATGTGTGCTGAATGTATACAGTGTCAAGTATTTGTATAGAAAAATAAAATTATATGAGAGGGCGAATTTCGCATACGTTGGTTCTAATTTTATGTGTACTACATATGTTCAAGAATTTTTTTCTTGCATTTTTCGCGACACGTGATTTTATCGACTTAGCATACATATCAGGGTGTTTCTTATGGTTAGACCTAAATCACGGGTATATGTAAATCTCTAAAAATAGAACAATACACACTTGACTGTACTATGTGATTTGTTTTTATCACATTCATTGTTCACATGATTATATAACAGATAAGTCATTCGTACGTGGAGTAACTGGTAAAGTTCTAAGATTATAATACGAATCAATTATTCAAAAACTAATTATATGAAGCATATAGAAAGACCTGAACAAAAGTTTGCAAGAAAGATTTTAAGAGAAAAATATTAACTTCAATGATACTTGAAGAACAGTAAGATGGCACAAATGGCAAAATATTACTGAGAATGTGATTCAACATAAACGTAATATTATTGTACATGAACTTAAGATGCTACTGTATTGCCTACATTCATTTTCATAACGTACAATATTATATGGGACTGATTTTATCTACGTCAAATACAGTAGTTTAATTAAGTACTGTAAATATGTTACGCGCCATTTTCCAATTGTCGGTTGACATACCATAAGGTGCTGACTGATGTATCAGTGTCTTTAAAAATAATTGGGACGTATCCGGTAAACATTTTTCATTCAATTTTGCCAGTCTTCAATGCTTTCCACCAACTGGGTATTTTCTTCGAGATATAATATGAATTGTCCATGGGTACAAATCATAGTCAGCACTTTACGGATAAAATGAAGGGATGGTCACTTGCAAAAGACTGTCAAAGCAGCAAAATTGAGTAAAGTTCCGAATGCATATACAAGTTTAAAATGCGGAGGTTATGGTTTCTGAATTTATAGTGACCTAATAGCGCATAGATTTTCTTTGAGTTTCGCTAAATGGGGTCATAGTCATCAGCTTCGAACGTCTGTACAAATTGTTTTTAACCTACGACCATAATAATTTGGCGTTAAGTATATTTAAACTTGATTATATGCTTAATGTGAAATTACAAGCATAGATAATACTTTAGCCATGTCTAATATTGAGATTGTCTAAAATTTTTCTTTTAATATGTAACACTCGTAAACTCACTAAAATTAGTAGTTATTAAACAAGAGATATATTCGACGAATGAAATTAATAGATTTCGGCGTATCTCGGACTGTGCAGTTGGGGTAAAGTTTTTTGACTAATTCTATTATTTGAGTAACCGATGATTTTCCTTAACTATATTATATATGTTAACGTACTTAGTTGATTAATCGATTATAATCAACTTCAACTAAATTGAATAATTGGAATATCGTATAATTATATGCTTATTATATATGCTTGCTTATTATATATGTTTACCATACATGTCATTGCGCAAATCCAAACAAATGACAAACTAATCCAATTAATTAATTAAATTTAGTTGAGTTGTTAGTTGATTTAATCAACTAAGTAAATCGTACTGTAATCTATATGTATTTTAAAAAAAACATTTTCGTTAAAAAATTCCATCACAAATGTTGCTGAAATTATTTTTTATATGGACTTATGACTTTTCGCTTTTTTTTCCCATTAAATAATTTCGTGAAATTTTACACATTTAATATAGTCTTCTTTTTTCTTTTTTTTGTTTATACCTTTAATTAAAACAAAGTTTTTTTTTCATTTGTCGCTAACAACCGCGCCTATAATAATACCCATTGATTTATTATTACACCATATATAAATCATGTCCTTTCTATGTCAAGAGCGACAGCAACGAGGACCTTATGTGACTAAGGCATGTACAAATTGCCAAAAAAAACACGCAAAATGCACTGGAGGAGCAGTTTGTAAACGTTGTACACAACGTAATCTTGAGTGTACTTTTATCGATTCGGGTAAAAAGCGAGGACCGAAAAAGAATGATAAACACTCAGAACAGGTCTATGCTCTTAACGGTCCTGAAAATGATTTTGATGGAACCTTAATGCTATACTCTGATCCTGAAAATGAAATTGATAGAACCTCTATGCTATCTTCCGGTCCTGAAATTGAAATTGATGAAATCTCTATGCTTCCTTCTGGCCCTGTAAACGACTTTGATGGAATCTCTATGCTATCCTCTGGTCCTGCAAACGATTTTGATGAAACTTCTATGCTATCCTCTAGTTCTGGAAATGAATATTATGGAACCTTTATGCTATTCTCTGGTCCTGAAAATGAATTTGATGGAATCTCTATGCTATCCTCCGTGACCCCTAATCCCGAACAAGGTCACACATCGACTTTATTATTTTCATCAGGAAATTTACAACGACAACTGGATAATTTTGACGACTTTGCTCTTTATCCCGACTTTTACGTTTCTCAAGAACTCAGCCCATTTTCTTAACAAACTTGTACCAACACTGGATATGTTATGCAAAAAAATCATTTTATAGATAATACATATAATAAAAATAATTTCTTTTTATCTGACAATTTATTAGTTGATAATAATTATATGTTACCATTCCAAAATTAAACATAGTATTTTTTGACATTTGACTTAAGTTATTAATATGCTAAATTTTCAACCGTTGTTCTTATAGTTCTTATTATTTATTCATAGTTTAAATGACTTTATAAATAAGTTATCAATTAAATTAGCTCTTATTTAAAAATATATAGCAAAAGTTAGGTAAGAAAAAAATTTGTGAATATGATGCCTTTATTATTATGGTTTTTCTGTATTAATGGGTGTGAATTAAATGAAATTATATGTATAATAAATAAAGTTACTTTTTCCTTTTTTTTTTATTAAAAAAATTATTAAGTTCAATTCAAACAAAACTATTTACAGTAAAACATCCATAAGCGCACCCTCTATAAGTGCACACCCTCTCTAAATGCACGCTCAAGTTCTGGCCCAATATATACATGCCCTCTATAAATGCACTTTCTCTTATTGTTCTCTAAGTGCACGTTGTTAAAGCTTAGTCCCAAGGGTGTACACTTAGAGAGGCCTGACTGTAATTGGTTAATTTTATCAATGTTAACCAATCAAATTATATAAATTTAAATATTTATTGTTTTAATACATATTACTAGAAAACGAAAGAAAGCTTCACTTAAAAAAGCTTACTAAATAATCCATAAATACATACAAAAGAATTTATTGCATAAATTTGAAGAATAGACATATACACATAAAGTGAGATAAATGTGATATCTATCATTAATAAGCTCGAACTTATTAAAGAGTTTACAAGATATAAGCTAAAACTTTAATTTACAGCTAACCAACCCAAACGCATTACCAAGAACCGACCAAATTTAGACATTTCTAACTTAGAAGCAATAAAACAGTTAGCAATTAACTTAATTTTAACAATATAGTTTTAGACAAAAACACTTTTAGTTACCTTCACTCTACTATATAATTTCACATGGTCCAATAGACGGTGGCATATTTTGTCTCTTCTAGGTGAAGTTCTTCGAGTTTCCGACCTTTTCTGTTTATTTTGTATAGTAAATATTCGTGTTTTTACAAAGCTAACAAAATAAATAAATACTAATAATAATTGTATTATTATTAGTGACACGTTATTCTCTCAAAAAGTATTTTAAAGTATATAAATACTGTAAATTAGCCGGGTAATTGACTAATATCAGCCAATCATATGAATGTCCTTCCATGATACTTAAGCACATTCACATTTACTGTTATATCTCATCTCTTATTCAAATAAACTTATTTGCATTGATTTAGTAAAAAAGTAAATATTTTTAGCGATCTATAATTTCTAAATCGCTCTATCTTATCACAAACCAAGTTAAATTGGCAAGATTATAATGTAGTAGTATTTTTATTTTATAACAATATAACTTAGATAAACATTTGTTATATTTAATTAAATACTAAAAGAGTATAAATAATAACATAAAAGTTATTTACGTCACTGAATTTGGCGCATAGCCACATTGTTAATGTGTATATCAACAGATCAAAGAAATAAAAAGTAGAAAATACGAAAAATATAGAAACACTATCTAAATTCATCCTGGACAATTAAAAAAAAAAAAATGTCGAGAAAGACATTTTACCTATAAAATTGCTTTAGCTTCTAACTCCAAACTATCCCTGATCTTAAATTTAGTTACAAAGCTTAGCGATCTCTCTAGTAAACTTTTTTTATTTTAGTTTTAGCTTTTATTGTTTTTAAAACAAATTATTGAAATTTATAAGAAAAAAACTTTAATATTATAGTTTCATAAATGAATACCATAAAAAAGGTGGGTTTGTATTAATGCAATCATTAACTCATAAAAGGAAGGGATGGTCACTTGCAAGACTGTCAAAGCAGCGAAATTTGAGTAAAGATTATCACAGTTTCCCAATGCATATACAAGTTTAAAATGCAGAGGTTATGGCTTCTGAATTTATAGTGATCTAAATAGCGCATAGATTTTCTTTGAGTTTCGCTAAATGGGTCATAGTCATCAGCTTCGAACGTCTGTACAAATTGTTTTTAACCTACGACCACAATTTGGCGTTAAGTATATTTAAGGTGCTGCAAAAAGGGACCAAATTGACAAAACAAAAGATCTTCGGAAAATCAATTTTTATGTTATACAGTAAAACCTCCATAAGTGCACCCTCTATAAGTGCACACCCTCTCTAAATGCACGCTCAAGTTCTGGCCCAGATATATACAGCACATGCCCTCTATAAATGCACTTTCTCTTATTGATCTCTAAGTGCACGTTGTTAAAGCTTAGTCCCAAGGGCGTGCACTTAGAGAGGTCTGACTGTAAATCTTATAATAAATCATAAGAAAATGCAAACTTTAAAGAGCAATATAGCAAAATTTTATTAATACAGTACTGTATTTCGTTATCTTGAGTTAGATTATTAAAGATAATATTATCATTAAAATGATCATTATTATTAATATGAATATCATCTGTAGGATTGAATACGTTCTCCTCTAGTAACATCGGTGACGAAAATAATGGTGATTTGACGTAGAAGACGTGGAATCTGTATCGTTATGAGATTCTTGTTCATCTGACGTCGATTTAAAAGAAACAATATTCCATTGTTGTCTTTTTTTTCTTCGATCGGTTTTGGGAAACATTTCGCTGCGATATTTATATGCTTCTTTAGCAAGTCGTTTATAATATTTTTTAACATACTCTGCTTCATTTTTCCATGATTTAGTTGCTGTCTTCGATATTTCCGTCATTTGTAAATTATATCCGTTTGCTCTCGCTGTCTGAACGAATAATTTTCGATAAATAATGAATGCATTTGGCGACCTTCGTGGTTTTTTACCATCAGTTGGTTTCAAGATCAAGTCTTTAGCTTCAATAGAAGGTGGAAACTTCATCATGATATCGTTTGGATCTTTGTTCATAGGTGCTGCTTTCTTAACCACCATCGAGTCAACAAATACATGTTCATCGGCCATTTGTGCATTGATTTTTTTATATAATTGTTTTTCAATCTTTTTTTTCTTCGAGTTGATTAATTCATGCACATATTTATATTTGATTAGAAACTGCGGACCAACAAAAGTAATTATACAATTTTAAAATAAGGCCATACAAACTTAATTAATGCCTAATCTTCATAAAATATGTTATTAAGCTTGCGATTGTGTTTTAATGCAAACTGTTATGCCATATCGTGAAATTAGGTTGCCCCGACATAATGTGTTGTAAGTTACACAGTGAATCTTGGTGTATCTGCAGCTTCCGACTAATGTTACATTTGGCGTAACTGTAGATCTGTTCTAAATATAAAATAATGCCATTGGTTTACGATAACGGACAAAGTAATCTAATTCAACTATAAAAATTACCATCACAAAATGTCGTTGAAATCATTTTTTATCAAGTATAAATATCTGGACTTTTGGCTTCTCGCTTTTTTTTCCCCATTAAATAATTTCGTGAAATTTTACACATTTAATATAGTCTTCTTTTCTTTTTTTTTTTTTGTTTATCCCTTTGATTAAAACAACAAAGTTTTTTTTCATTTGTCGCTAACAACCGTGCCTATAATAAAATCCATTGATTTATTATTACACCATTGATAAATTATGTCCTTTCTATGCCAAGAGCGACAGCAACGAGGACCTTATGTGACTAAGTCATGTACAAATTGCCAAAAAAAACACGCAAAATGTACTGGAGGGGCAGTTTGTAAACGTTGTACACAACGTAATCTTGAGTGTACTTTTATCGATTCGGGTAAAAAGCGAGGACCGAAAAAGAATGATAAACACTCAGAACAGGTCTATGCTCTTAACGGTCCTGAAAATGATTTTGATGGAACCTCTATGCTATCCTCCAGTCCTGAAAACGACTTTTATGGAATCTCTATGCTATCCTCTGGTCCTGCAAACGATTTTGATGAAACTTCTATGCTATCCTCTGGTTCTGGAAATGAATATGATGGAACCTTTATGCTATCCTCTGGTCCTGAAAATGAATTTGATGGAATCTCTATGCTATCCTCCGTGACCCCTAATCCTGAACAAGGTCATACATCGACTTTATTATTTTCATCAGGAAATTTACAACGACAACTAGATAATTTTGACGATTTTGCTCTTTATCCTGACTTTTACGTTTCTCAAGAACTCAGCCCATTTTCTTATCAAACTTGTACCAACACTGGATATGTTATGCAAAAAAACCATTCTATAGATAATACATATAATAATAATAATAATTTCTTTTTATCTGACAATTTATTAGCTGATAATAATAATATGTTACCATTCCAAAATTAAACATAGTATTTTTTGACATTTGACTTAAAGTTATTAATATGTTAAAATTTTTAAGCAATTAAACCGTTATTCTTATAGTTCTTGTTATTTTATTTATAGTTTAAATGATTTTACGAATAAGTTATCAATTAAATTAGCTCTTATTTAAATTATATGTATAATATATAAAATTTCTTTTTCTTTTTTTTATTAAAAAAAAATTATTAAATTCAATTTAAATAAAACTATTTATTATACAACCTAAACTATAACAAAATTCTGCATAAATCATATGATTAATATTCAGGTTTGGAATACATGCATTGTTGTACGTACATATACGAATAAAAATACACTATCCTAATATTAACATTGCTTCGAATAAAAATTTCGAACTTACACTCGTAATATAAAACTTTTAATGGTAATGCAAAATTATAAAGCTATGAATTAACCATTTTATATATTACATATCGAAAGATAAAGCAAGGATTTATGAATCTTTCGCAATTTAAAATATCACATTTATTGCGATCTTTCCAGGTATGCGGAATTGTAATCCATTTTTGACGATTATTAATATAATTAATCGAATTTTTTACATCTTCGAAACTTGTCTGAACTGCTTGTGCCCATCGCTTATTGCAATGTTTTTTGTTCTTCCACAATTTTTAATACTTCATTCAGAATAATTTATTATATTCGAATAGTCGATAAATATCTTGTTTTAAATTAGAAAGTAAAATTTTTTTGCATTTTAATAAGTTATTATTAATGCTATCATATTATAAAAGTAAAATTCTTTGTAATAGTAAAGTTATACAAAATCGTCATTATCGTTATCGTTATGATTTAAAAAAAAGACAAATCATGTGATTTATGCAGAATTTTTTAAGGTGCTCACAAAAAAAAAGTGAAAATTGAAAACGGCAAAGCAATTTTATCTATGAATTTGCATTTCACCTCAAACTAACCCTGATCTTAAATTTGGTTAAACTGCATGGTAACGATTTCTCTAGTTTAATTAGCATTTCTACTTTAGTTATTCGCTTTATTGTTTTTTTTAGAACAAACTATTAAAATTTTTTAAAAAAAACTTTTTAGTTTTTATATGTTATTGCATCACTAGTTTCGTAAATGAATGCCATGAAAAGTTGGGCTTGTATAGAAGATTATACTAAAAAAAAACTTTTTATCAGCTAGGTCGTCCATAAAATGAAGGGATAAGCACTTACGAAAGACTTTATCAAATTCACCGGAATTTTAGCAAAAGTTTTCATAGTTTATAATGTATATGCACGGAAGGTCATGGTTTTTATATCTCTTTGAGCTTTGTTGGATGGAACTTTAGTCATTAAGCCAATTGACTTTCTGGTTATTTCTTTTACTATGAATTTTTAATTTAAATCTTCTGACCTATAGTCGCATAAAACTAAGGCAGTTAAGTCGACAAAAAATCGACTACAATTACTAATAATTTTGATCTATGACTAATAAAAAAAATTATTTTAGTTTCTTAGTTTATTTTCTATTTTGTCAAGATAGTCATCCGTTTATATATACTATATAAATTACTTTAAAAACATATGCTTTCTATAACATAAAGAAATTAAATTATACCGTAATACCAGTTTGAACAATCATATAGTGTTCTAGAAAAATATTATTAGAGTTTAGAACCGATTTATGTTAAAACCGGGTTCAATCGGCTTAACATATGAAAATAAAACTGTACTAAATTCTAAACTATTACGTATCACTTATAAAATTCTTTTAATTGAAAATTAGATTAAACAGGAGATATATTTAGTGAACGAAATTGGTAGACTTCGGCTTATTTCGGACTGTGGAATTTAAATAAAGTTTTTGTCTAATTTGGGTAACGATGTTTTTCCGTAACTGTATTATGTTATTGTACTTAGTTGATTAATCGATTATCCAACTTTCAACTAAATTTAATATAATGGTATACTGTATGCCCTTACTATATTTGTGCATTATTGCAAATCCGACAAATAAAGTAATTAAATTAGTTGAGTTGTTAGTTGATTTTAATCAACTAAGTACTATACTATATTTTGGGTGGATTGATTAACACAAAATAAGAAGTTTCAGATAATTGTTTTATAAAAATAGCGGGAGATTGACGCTCGGATCATATAACAAAAAGAAACACACCAATTAAAATTAACCGACAAAAAGTAATTAAATTAGTTGAGTTGTTAATCGATTTAATCAACTAAGTACTATTATACATTAACACACATAAAAAATATTAAATTTGAATCTTCCGCCTTATGCTTACAAGTTCGAGCTGTTTTTTTTATCAATATATAAATATCGTATTTTTTTGAGCTCTTTCCCTTTTTTTTTATCATAAAAGTTTACGCATTAAAATATAATTTTTTTTGTTCATATTTTTGATTAAAGCAACAAACTTGTCGTTAACGACCGTGTCTATCATAATAATATATTTATTAAATTACTGTACCCTTGATTGATTATGTCTTCTTTACATAAAGAGCAACACCAACGAAGACAGCAACAACGAAAAAAACGAGGACCATATACGACTAAAGCATGTACAAATTGCCGACAAAAACATGCAAAGTGCACTGGTAAAGCATTTTGCGAACGTTGTACACGGCTTAATCTTGTGTGTACTTTTGATGATTCGGGTCAAAAGCGAGGTCCAAAGAAGAATGGCAAACTCTCAGAAGAGGTCTATGTTCCTAATGATCTTAGAAATGACTTTGATAGGAATCCTATGCTAGTCTCCGCAGTCTCTAATGCAGTACAGAGCCACGTATCGACTTTTTCATCGCCATTAGAATATCCACAACCTGATAATATTGATGAGTTTACTCATTCCGACGCTTATGATGATTATGATAATTATGATGAACAAAACATCCAAGCTTTTCAAGAAGTCGGTCCCTTTCTTTATCAAGCACGTACTGATACTGGATACGTTATGCCAAACAACGATCTCTTAGATAATTCATCTACTAATAATAATATTGTTGGCGACTTATTCTTTGATAATTACTATATGCTGTATTCTTATATTTCTTATTTATAGTTTACTAAATTATTGTACGAATAAGTTATCAATTACATTAGCTTCTATTTAAGAACTTACAGAAAAAATGGTTTAAGAAACAAATGGCATAAATATGTTACTTTTATGTATTATTATTACTGTATGTACAATAAATAAGTCCCTTTTTTTTAGTCAACTATTACTAAACTTTAATTCAGACAAAAATATTTGTTATGTATAAAACTTGTGTCGTAACCTAAAGTTGAATATTAATATTAATTTCACCACATGTAATAAATAATTAAGATAAAGTCTTTTATCTTGTTATAATTAGTACTTGATTTTATGATCAGGCGATGAGGAGGTAACTAGCCAAAAATAGAAACATGCGAATTAATAAATTTAGTGATTGAGGAGACTAAGTTAATTTTTTTTTATTTGATTCATAAATATGTATATACAAGATATATATTATTTTGTATGCTAAAGGCAAGCGACTTCACATAGTCCGCCAAGTTGATTTTTGAATTTTTAAACTTTATTTGAGTTGACAAACTTGGCTAATTACAAGCAATAGGTTAAAAAGAGAAATTATTTCTTAAATCGTCTAGAAGCCAAATTCGGCCATTAAACCAATTTTTACATGTCTTTTACAATTACTCAAAATTTTACTAAACTTGTTTTTTCTTAATTTTTAAGCTAAAACAAAATTATTAATAATTAATATTTTAAATTTTGTAATTTTTAATAAAGATATTTAAAAAAAATTTTCAGGTTGAAAGACTATTATCATGGCAGGAATTTTATTGAATATTTGAAATATAGTATATAACTATTCAATAGCTAATAAAAGTACAACTAGCCATACATACAACTTTTAGTTGTTTATTTATGTAATTTATTTAAAAGTTCTATACTAGCTATAAATTATATTTATAATTTAACTAAAAACCTATTTATTTAAACTCTTTTATCTAGCTATTTTATCAATTTTTATTTAATAATATTATAAATTTTTATATATTTATCTTTAATTTATATATTACTATTTCTTGATAGAGGTAGTTCTTTCTTTGTCAGCCCTCAGGCTTTTCTCTTTGATTTTCTTTTTTTACATATCATTGTACCTTCTTTTTTTGTTTTTTCCTTTAAAATTCCTTTTGTTTTATTTGTTTTTTTAGTTAGTCTTTTATTTTGTCTTCTATTTTGTCTTCTTGGTATTATTGGTAGTTTTGTATTAGATATAAGATTATTACCTTTTTTTTTGCTCTTAGTAAAAAAAAAAGAAGACATGAAGGGATTAGCTTTAACAGGCTAACAAAGTTTATTTAATCCAGTCAGAGATTTTTCAAAATTGTGTAATACAGATTATTTTGTTTTTTGGTAAAGATCTGCAATTCTATAGTACAAAATTTGGCTAAATTATTAACTATGATGTTACACTTTTATTATTAACTATATAAAGGCCTTATAAAGCCCCTAGAATTCATATAGCTTCCTAAACTACATAGTCTTAGAAAACTTTTTTAATTTTTTTTTAAAACTAGTAGTTATTTTCAGAAAATAAAAAATACTTTTGTTTTTATAATTAAAAATCAATTTTAAAATACTCTTCTAATATATTTGCAGATCATTTCCATATTGCAGAAAATTCCTGACTATAATTTGTATACAAGTTGGTGCAACAAGATGCATATAGGCACATTTATTGCAGCCAGGTAATATTAGATTCATAATTATAAGACTTCCTGTTTAGTTTAGAAATTATATATATATATTGTTTAAAATACTAATTAAATATAAAGTGCTGGCAAGACTGTCAAAGATTAAAAATATATATATATTTATATATTAAAATAATTTTTAATCTATTTTTATATTTACTCTAAATTTTATTAAATTATACTTACCTATTTTCTAAACTAAAATAAAGTATATTATATTTTAATTACTATATAATTTTTAAAAAATTGCTATTTGTACTTCCAAATTTGCTTTTATATTTCATATAAATTAATATTTTTTAAACTTTAAACAAAGATATTTTAACAACCACTAAGTTAAATTTGATAAAGTTTTTTATTTAAATTCTATATATTTTTTCAAATAAAAAAAAAATTTGTCTAGTAGTTGTATATCTTTACTTAAAAGGTTTAAAAAATTTAAACTATCTATTAAAATAAATTTTTTATTTTTTAAGTAAAGATATGGGGAGGAGTCAATAAAAAAAAGACAAATCATTTTTAGTAAAATTTTTTCAATTTTTAAATTAAAATATCTCAACAATTATTTAATCAAATTTGCTAAAAATTTTTTATTTTAATCTTGAAATTATATAGAATTAAAATAAAAAAGTTTTTATTAAATTTGATAAGATAATTGCCAAGGTATTTAAGCTTAAAGTCAAGAAAACTTTTACTTAGAAAAATTTATCTCTTTTCTATTAACTCACCCCCATATCTTGATGCTTATTAAACAAATTCAATAAACTTTTTGTTATCTGAATTTAAGTATTTGTAGAATTCAAATAAAAAAGTTTATTAAATTTGGTTTAGTAATTGTTAAAATATCTTTATTTAAATTTTAAAAATATAATACTTATAAATAAAAGCTATATCAAAAATTTTTTTATTTGAGCAAAAATATCTTAGTAACTATTAAACTAAATTTGATAAACTTTTTTTATTTGTATACTATAAATCTATAGAATTTAAATAAAAAAAGTTTATCAAATTTGACCTAGTAGTTTTTAAAATACTATTATTCAAATATTGAAAAATTTTAATATAGTTTTTATTTTTATAAATATTAAGTTTTTTAAAAAATTTAAACAAAGCTATCTTGATAATTACAAGCCAAATTTAATAAACTTTTTATATTTAACACAGGTCGAAAAATAAAAAATCAGGTACCTGATTTGTGTCTGATTTTTTATCTTTCGACCTGTGTAAATTTTACAGATTTTTTAAAATTTATATAAAAAAAAGTTTATTAAAGTTAGCTTAGTAAGTATTAAAATATAGTTAGCTCTTTCTAAGTGTATATTGCCAGGACCAGTACTTTGACCTGCATTTAAAGAAAATTTGCAATTCAAGAAAAATTAAAATTATTAAAAATTTTATTAATAAAAAATGATAAAATTTTTAAAAATTAATACCTTTTAATATTTTGATCCAATTTGGATGATTTAATTACCAAAATGAGTCTTTTATAAAGAATATTCTAATGAACCCAAAATCAGACAAATCTGATTACATAATCTTGAGATCATTAATAATTTGTATTATATTTATTATAGTAAATATAATATAAACATTAAAAATCTTGGAATCATATAATTAGAATTAGTTATTCAAATTAAATTAAAAAATCAAAACTTATTAATTTTTAAAGATTTTATTATTATTATTATAATAATTATAAGAGACCAATATGAGATTAGTTCCAAGTAGTGTTCCAAATCAAAAATCAATTAATTGATTAATTAATCAAATCAATGATTAATCAATTGATATTTACAATACATGATTAATCAATTAACCAAATTAATTGATTAATTGATTAATTAATTAATTAATTGGATTAATCGATTAATTGAATTAATTAATTAATTGATTAATCAATCAACTGATCTCAATTTTTAAATTGTTAGTATATGCAAATTTAAAATAACAACTATATATTCTACAATCCTAATATTATAAATTAATACTTGGTTATACTGATGCATTCTTTATAAAATTTGATTTGTTGTATTAAAGGTATTCTTAAGCACCTCAATTAAGTAATCAGAAGCAAATTTTTAATTAGTCAGAAATTAAATAAATAAATCAAAGGAGTTATCCTTTAATAACAAAATTAGGAAATACAAACTACCTTTTTTCTTTAAAAATTTACTATTAATATAAATTGTTCAAACACTACTTTTACATTTTTTTGTATATCAAACATAATAAACAATAAATTTTTAACAAATTTCTTAGCAATTTAAAAAAATAGCTATTTTTTTTTAATATTTGAAGCTTTTAAAACAAATAATTGATATATTAATATAAGTGTAATAAATACAACAATCTTTTAATGTTTAACCAAACTATAATTAATACTATTATTACTATATTAAAGAATTTTAAATTGTTAAAATCATTAAAAGGAGCTAATATACAGTAACTAAAGTTAAAACTTTAACAGTTGATTGAAAAGAATTTTTTCTATTAGGTTTTTTTAGATAGTATAGTGAATATTTAGAGAAAATATTTATATATATATATAATTTAAAATAACCTGCATTTAGAGAATATAGAAGATACATTTATTTTATAAGTCCTGACTTGGAATTAGGCTATTTTTATATATATAGAAAAAACTTGTACTTAGAGAATATGCACTTAAAGAGAGTTAGCTATATACTTCTTTATATAGTTATCTAAATATTTTAAATAATTTCTAAATATTATTTAATTTGCTTTTATTTCTATTAATACTTTGTTAACTTCATGATTTTTTCGAATAAGTATAAATATTTCGCATTATTTAATACTTCATTATAATCAGTTTATAAAATAAATCAATTATTTTATGGTATTTTTAAATGATAAAATAATTGAACTATTTCATAAATC